TATATCATGAGATAGAATAGGACAAAAACGATGGAAAATTATCTCATCCCATGGGACTTTTATGCAAATATTTACATCCCATCTTGTTCCATGGAAGAGTATGGACTGAGACTTTCTCGTTCCATGCAAAGCTCTAACATGCATAAATATCATTCGCACCTCATAGATATAGATACACACAATTGCAGCTATTCATATCTAAATTGTTGTAACGTCGTTAACAGAGGTAATGTTGAGTACAATTTCTTTCTTATGCTTCTTATAACCGACATTTATCCTATTAGAATAAATAGAAAAAAAGTACAAAGAACATTAGCTAAGTCCACTACTTCAATATTGATATCTATCGATACATTTGATACTAATTAGAAATCTATTCTGTTTGAGAGTTGAGATTTAGTCTAATAACTTTGGGTTTGGGTTGTTGGTGTGTTACCTAAATTCATCAAATCAAATCATTTCAGCTTCGGTATAATTCCGTTTCTTTCACATCGCTGATGCCTATTTTAAATTTTTGTTTTCATGTAAATACAAGCAAAAACATACTTCTATGCTTTCCATGGTCAAGTACTAAAATCAAATTATTTGATGAATTTAGGTACTCGATTAATATCAGAGCTTCTTCTCGTATTCACTTTTTCGAGATACTTGTCTGGATTTTTACTATAAATTGTGATAGTTGTTGTTTTGGATGGCAAATAGATGGCATTTATGTATATATGGGAATTTTCGGATTCTAGTTTTGATCTAAAAATATTATTTCAGTAGGAGTCAGAATTTGTTTTAGACAGAATGGATAATATAAAGCCTTCAACAAATTAGAAGTCCTTCCCATAACAAGAGGTTCTGGCCCAATAAATAGATAAAAAAGAATAAAGTAACATATTTAGAAGACACAGCCTGGAGATTAGTTTTTCTAAATGATTTCTACAGTTTGGTTTGTTTTTTTTGACATTTTTGTGCCTGTTTATATCCAAATTCGATGTGGAGCAATATTTTGCATCTATCATGTAAGCCTTGTATTAATTCTACGTTGAATCATTTATGAGATAAAACTGATGAAAGACATCGTTGAAAAAGTAGTCCTTTAATTAAAACAATTTCCTGGATGCATGTAAGTACCCCTTTAAAGGACGCACTGAAAACCTTTTTGCGTTTATTCTTTGTAAAAAATTCCTTTCACATTATTTAAACATGATGAATATGGAATGTGTTACATAAAAAAAAAATTCTTCGTCAAATTAAAACATATTCACTAGGCACATGTTTCATATAATTGAAATGCGTGCTGCGCTAATTTATTCTTTCCCTGATTCCACACTTTGCCGGTTCAGAATACTAAATTCTTATCTGATAGAAAAATTTGTCGGAGGACACACATTCGGATGTTTCCTATGACGAACGAATTCTATTGACTAAGGATCCATTTCTTTTTGCAGAAAAAACATATATTTTTCGAAGTTAGTTTAAAGACACGGTAAAAATATTCGACAAAGTTGATATAGCCACTTTTTTTAAAATAAACTGTTTCTTCATGGATTCCATCTACACGAATCAAGCCTAATAAAAAGCAGCTGACAAGCTTTTAGCGTCTGACTGACGATATTGTTCTAAGAACATTCTTCTTACCGACGATTAGTTTTCTTTTTCTTTGCAGTGAAATATAATTCATTTTTATTCGTTGTACGAGTGCAATATAATTAAAGTAAATTGACTTCCTAACGATGCATTATTATAAGTCTTTTAATATATATATATAGAGAGAGAGAACTATAGTTTTTCGAAGATGGCAAAAACGTTCTTGGCTTGGCCTCGCTCCTGAGGGATGATACAAGAAAATTGAGAAAACTTTCTTTTGCAGATAACGACTCAAGTGCCATTAGATCTGACAAAGCTCTGAATTTTAATCATATATAAACTGATCAAGACCTAAATTCAGTTATCAACTGACAAAATCAGATAAATATTCCAGTTAACCAACTAGCGAAATGTATAAAATATTTCGTCGCAGACTCAATCTGAAACGAGCTTGAATCAATCCCCAAATTAGTATGTGTAGATGTAAAATTTGGAGTGTAACCCTATGTTAAAACACTCAAGGTTATATGCACATTATATTGTTTTGTTATCATCCACATGTCCGACTCGTTTAAAGTACCTTATTTGATAGTTTAAAATAGATACTGCCCATTTTCGAATGCAGTTAATAGTTTTCTTTTCAACAAATAGATATATCATCTATTCTCTTTTACCATATAGCGCCAACACCAGGGCTTCCTGTCTCGATTATACGGCTAAAATAATCGCTCTAGATATTGCTTCTCAAGATAAAGTTATGCTTCTTAGACAAAAAAAGTCGAATTACACTTCATCATCCATCTTTCACAATAATACTACCGGGTCAATAATTTTTCTTTTGGTTGTCTTTTGAAGAACAATATGGTCTATTCAGCCTAGCTTTCCTTACACATTTCGATATAAAGATCTCCAATTTGGCGTTCGAACAACTATTAGGATTTATAGTAAAAAAAACAGAAAAGCATCTCGAAAAAGTGAATACGAGAAGCTTATGTGGTATTAATCGAGTACTAAATTTTACCAAATAATTTCAGTTTGGTAGTGTCAGTTTAAATCATAGAAATATGTTTGTTCATGCATTTATATAAAAAACCGAGATTTTAAATACACAGAAGAGATGTGAGAGAAAAGGGATTGCATCCAAGTTCAAATGGTTTAGTGAGTTCACGTATTACTGGGTGATCCAAAAGTTTTGCAACATCTTGTGTTTTGCACATATCTCAGTTCAGACAAAAGATACAATATAAAATTTAATTTTGGAAGATGTGCAATTCAATTCTCGAAAAACTTGTATTTAGCTTAATATAAAATAATAGACCTGAACCTTTCTATGAACCAAATAGTATGATGATATGAAATGCATATATTTCCCACATATTCTTTTATTAAATTACTTTTTCTGTACGAGCGAATATTTCGATTTTTGAAATAATAGATGGTAAGATAGCTCTTCACAGTTTCACTCGATTGCTTATATATTTAACATTCGTTCGTTCTATAAGACACAATTTTTGGCAAAACAATATTTTGAGAATCGTCAAATTTTCTCGCTCGAAAAGCAATTCTTAAAAATGTGACCGGTTGCCAAATCGTGTTCACTGTTGCAAGACTTTGTAGCAAACGGGATTCTCTTTCCAAACAAAACTAAAAAACCATTTGATAAAACAATTCAATTGGGATAAGAATTCGAACGATTCGAAGAATGCTGTTTCTACCATAGAATATATGAGAGGCAATTTGTATTACTCCTAAATAGATTGTAATAGAACGCAGATGAATTATTCTAAAAGAGCATTAATATGTGATAGTATTGCTGATAATTATATTTTAAAGCGCCTGTTTAAAACATGAGAAAGTCAGAAAATGTGTAATTAGAAACAGGTGTGGGAAGTAGATACAATTCACATAATCATACTATTTGATAGACAAAAATGCTCAGTTCTATTATTTTACAATGAGTTAAATACAAGTTTGTAGAGAATTGAATTGCGCATCTTCCAAAATTATATTTAAGATGTTATCTTTTGTCTAACCTGAGATATATGCAAAACAAAAAATGTTGCAAAACTTTTGGATCACCTGGTAGGTCCATTCGTATTAATTCATTTTTCAGATATATGAATCACATATCTTCAAGACACTTTAGATATTTGTGGATGTTTTCAGACAAGCAATTGAAGGAAATCTTTTGTAGTAAATAATTTCAAGTCGATTTTCGGTGAATTGTGTAGTACCCGTCGTAATCAGACAATTTTTATAAAATATTAACAATTCCAAATATAGATAGGACTATGTCAACGTGACACTATAACTTCAACTTTCTGAAAATCAATTATTATTTTAGGCAATTCAACAACCAATTGTACTGTCTATATATTTTTATAGCTGCGATCATGCACATATTCTGGAACTGTACTGTTTATATATGACATATTAGCGATGAATTAGCAAGAATATGAAGTTTTTTTGCAGAACTTTGTGAAATTTTTCATGATGTTTTTTTCTCATCAGTTCTCAGATGCGACAATGATACCTTTTTCTTTTTTATTCTCTCTTGGCCAAACTAGGTGAGATTGTAAATTAAATATGACATCATTTGAACAAATAATGACGCGTATGTCAATCGTTCTTCAAATATTTCACTAGGTTTAAGTAGCCGTTTTTTTATAGGTAATTTTGTATCTATAAAATCTACAATAAAAAATCAATGATTCATCATTAGTGATAGAAATCAGAAAGAAAAGTAGAACTGGAAAGTGTCTATATTATTATGATGATAAAATTCTATCTTATATTTCTTTCTGTTCTAGATCCTTTCAAGCATGTCTTAAATGAATACAACTTTCCCGTTCAGTGTATTGTGACAAAATAGAGAAAACACTTGTTTTGTATGTCTCTTACGATTGTACAACTGCTTGTTCTCCTTTCTATACTTCATCATGCAGTGAACAGTTTACAAGCTAAGGACTTTTACGTTCACGACTTACCTCTTTTACCTAAAGAGGTTTCTTCCATTCGTATGCATGCTGGATATCTACCTGTTGATCCAAAACATCATGGAGCCTTATTCTTCTGGCATTTTGCAAGCAAATATATTGCTGACAAGTCAAGAACAGTGATTTGGTTTAATGGAGGTCCTGGTTGTAGTAGTCTCATTGGAGCTTGGATGGCGATTGGTCCTTTCCGCTTTCAAGATGAAAATACAATAATTGAAAATAATGGATCTTGGCATATGTTTGCCAATCTATTGTTTGTCGATCAGCCTGTTGGTACTGGTTTTTCCTATATTGATACAGACGCGCTTATTCATGAACTCGATGAAATGGCGAATCATTTTGTTAGCTTTCTCGACCGATACATCGAAGTTTTCCCCGAACTACTTCAAAACGATATCTATTTGGCTGGTGAGTCTTTTGCTGGTCAATATA